TCTTCTTCTCTCCATACCGCTCTTTTTCTCATGACCAGTAGACTGCCACTTTTTCCCTCTCATCCACCTGAAACCATCACCCTCTTTTCAGAATTTGAATCAACACTTGATTATTCAACAGATGTCCTTTTGGATCCAGTATGTCTTTATCTACCACTTTCTTTCTCCATCACTCATCTTCTGCGTTTCATCGTCCTGTTCCTCCCCTCCTCATCGTCACCAGCCTTCTCTTGAGTGCTGCCAGAGCGCGGCCTGCGTCTTTTGAGGGAAACCTCTGCTTTTTCCCACTAATCACCACTTAAAGGGGAATTCCTTCTCCAGCAGCAGGCCTGCAGCTCTGCATCTTTGAACATTTGATGGTTTGATGGCTATAATTTGCTTAAAATAACACCAATAAAGTCATAAAACTGTAAATGCCTAAATACCTAATGTACCAAGATGAAACACGATACAGCCTTTGATTTTGTACCTTTCAAGAACCTCTTGGCCACTTAGTTTCCACAGAACACATTTTGAGGTGTTGTTACAGATATATCTTTATTATACATGCATGATCTTTTTTAAAGAGATTGCAGTTCATACAGCCTGTTGATTATCTCTAAACTACAGTGTAAACAGGCACTTTGTTGGCATTAAGATAAGCTATAATCTTCTAATATTCAGCAATATTGTAAATTCTTACCCAACGCTAGAGGCTTTGCAAACATTACCCGACAACCAACATAAAAGTTAAAGGAGTAAGCAGCTGAATAATAAGCAGCATTAAGCCTGCAGTATTATAACACAGTCAGTAATACATCATGCTGCAGTGCATTGTTCATTCTCCAGCCCAGGCCAATAGGAGGAGGCGGCATCTTTCAAAAGCAGGGGGAAAGCCCTGAGCATGAGTAACAGACAGAGTCTCTACCTGAACTGCCTCTCTGGAGTCTCCACTCTCCCGTCGCCTCCTCCCACCCGCCCCTCAGCTCATGTCAGGAATACCTGTCATGCTCATTCTCAGTCGACACTGAACACCTCAGCTTAGTGGACCGTGAGGAGAATTAGTTATAGAGCTTCCTCCCAGTCCTGACCTGAAAGGAGAGGCAGGTAGGATTCCAGCAGGAGGAGAACACCTTATATAAGTTTTTCCTAGTAATGAATGAATATGTTTCCACACTGGTATGTGACCTGCACCAGGTTGTGACTAATCAGTGGTTCCCAGGGAGTAAATCCCTCTCCAACAGGCTTCTTTCAGTGTCATGTTGACACAACACAGTGGCCCATCACTAATCTCCTGACCCTCTCCATCACTGGGTCCGACTTCAGGGTCCTCACATGACCAAAAATGAGGAGATAATAATAACAAGGGCCTCTGATTTCTACCTTTACATATGGCTGAAAGATTGCGATTAAAGCTGAAACGTGGACGTTCTCGCCCCACTGACAACTTAAGTGGCATCATATGACAAAATCCCACCTGTGTCGGGATGATAGATCCAAAAGGCAGGTGCAGGTTCCTGCGTCTATGTTTATAACAAATCCCTATGCTGCTTGTGCAGAGATTAAATGGACCTTTCAATCGCGTTCACGACAAGAGTGACCTGTGTGTACACGAACGGCATCACGACCGCAACCTCCTGTCTTTTAATGACCGAATAAACAAACCGGCAGACATAATAGTGCAGCGCTTTTGTCAAGGGAAAGGGCAGAGAGCTAGTTAAGGAAGGAGTCTGGCCCCACATGAAAAGAAACAGGGAGGAGGAGAGACGCCTGGGTGTTCCTCCAGCATTGTTCAGCCTTCTGCCTCTGAGGGACACCTGTCATTGGCTGGGCGGTTTACACAGGTGCCTTAACCCAGCCTGATTTGTTGGCCTTGAAAGGAGACTTCAGTCAACAGGTAGAGTGAAGAGAACAATAGTGATGATCCTGAGGAAGAGTGAGAGAGAGAGAGAGAAACAGAGAGAGAGAGTGGGAGGAGGGTGGGATGGCGAAAAGGAGAAATGGATTCTTTTGAAATCACCTGAGGGTTTGTGTGAGATAATCTGTTTGCCTTTTACCCACAGTCTCGCTGTGTAGGGTGGAGGAAGGCGTATCGGTGTGTTTGTGGTGCTCAAACTGTTGCTCAAGGATCCCTTTCTTTCAAGAAACTCCTCCTCCACCTCCTGCTTCAAGTGGCCCGAGCAAATTCAATCACCTATCTTTCAGTCCTCTCAGCTTCACCCCGTTCATAACCTCGGCCGTTTCCATGGTTACACCACTGTACCCGAGGCTCCGGTTAACTGGAGGGCTGCACTAAACTCGTGGTCTCTCATGGCACTGGCGCTTTGCCAAGAGACAGCCCTAATAATGTGATACTGTTACACCAACACCACACACCCTGGCTCGGAGAGCCCAAGCAACAAGGCTTTTTCGTACCACGTTGTTTGTGTTGACGTTTTGTATGCGTGTGTGTGTGTGTGTGTGTGTATGTGTGTGTGTGTGTGTGCGTGTGCGTTTGTGTGCGTGTGTGGTCTTGCTGCCAGGGGGATTGCCAAGTTCCCTCTCACCCTGTGTGGAATGTGGCAGGCAAAGCAGACCTGTGTGTGTTTGTGTGAGCTGGATATAACTGTGGAGGGGGAGAAACTAGTTAAGCCGACACAATTAAAAGAAAGTATCAAACTCGCAACAGTGCAGTTTGTAAATCACACTAAGGATAATGAGTCAAATTAAAATGCTTTTATGTCATGTTAAATTGGGTCATAAATACATTTGAGTTGTTCAATGAAATCTTTCACCAATTAAATCCAAATTAAATGCTCATATATCACTATTTTAAGGTTAATTTATGATTTGTAATGTAGTCCAACAGCTTGGTAACAAGCAATTGAGCCAATCAAAGAAATAAATATGTATTTGTAGGTTGCAATAATATTAAAAATGTATATAAATCCAAGCTGTTACATAAAGGTGCCTGCTTTGGTTGGTTTGTAGCTCTGATAAATTGCTTTGAGGCATGCAAATAATCTCTACGTAAACTTAAAATAGGATTGCACCTGTTCTCTATTTTCACAACCCAGCCACAGGTGGAAACCTGTTAATGTGAGCAATGGTGGTTTAATAAGCATCTCTATTTAGGGAGAGGCTGACCTTTTGAAAACTGGGAATGTCTCTTGTTTCCTTTCCTCCTTTTAACTGTGGCCATGGTGATAAGGGGACAATGTGTGTGTTTTTGTGTGTGTCCGTGTGTGTAAGTGCATGTGTGCTGGTGTGTGAGTTAGAGGACACTGTTTCTGTGTGATTTCCTCTTCCCTAACAAACACTAACCAAATAAAGGTAATTGAATCACAGTGTGTCCACTCTGTGAGTGCATGCGAGCATGAGTGTGTGTTGACTCTTTGTAAATGTGTTTGCAGAGCACTTAGCCAGGAAGCTCGAGCTTGTTTTTCAAGTTGTTTTTAGTCGTCCAAAAGTAGATCTACATGATTTAACAAAGCTGTCTCAGTTTTAGTTTAATTTTAGATGAACCACATAGATTTGGAGACAAAACGATAAGCTTAATTAATTTAAGTATTGAATTTAGCAATTCCAGCGAAGTATTGAAATGGGAGAAGCTACAACTGAAGTGTTTGTTTCTCCTCTGCAGCAGCCAGCTCATAAATGGGCCAGATAAGTCCAGAAAGACATTATATGACGGTGGCCAGGGGATCAGCTCTCTCCTTTTATCTGCATTTTCCTTCTCACAGGCTGGAATGTTAATGGTGGCTTTGTGATGGGGTTCAGCTCTTCTGAGTGACTGACAGGCCGACTGGCAGCTCTCAAAGACTCCTAATGGGAAAGCAGAGTTAGCTGAGAGACGTCAGTGTTTTAAAAGAATGAGAGCTTTTATTTGATTTCAAGCAGCCTCTGAGGTTAAATGAAAGTTCACTTAGTGCTTGTTCCATTAAATGGTTTATATAATGTTTCTATTCATAATCGTTGATACCAGCTGGTTGTGTGGCGCAAGTAAACATGGGTACTGGCAACCATGATAACCTAACAGAAATCGAGCCTGAAAGGTGGTACATAGCTTACATAATTAAAAGCTTTAAAGGTCCCATTTTTTGTACTTTTCCATGTTATATTTGAAGTGTTGATGGGCATAGCTGAGAGCGGTGACTGCTTTGTTGTGACATCACAAAGTTAGAGAAGTCCTGACGGCTCGTTTTAAGGCTCATTTATTTGTGGACTGAACGCTTTGATACTTTCACAGTAGTATTATAGCGCCTAGGCCTGTTTTACAATCCAAAAAGACATGGAAATCTCACATTACACAATATGGGACCTTTAAGATAGACAACAACAATCTATCACACTGCCAGAACAGATGGTCTCTTAAATTGTTCTTTGGTATATAAATAAGCTGACTATCATATTGCCAGAAGAGTGCTATTGTAAATCTGTGGGGAACATCCGACAGGCATGTATATACTGTATCGTTTTATGTTAACTGTAATAATGTCAGGCTTTAGAAATCATCCTTGGTAGGTTTTTGATATAAAACACTTTATTCTACAGCCATGACTGGAGGGCTGACGCTACCAGCTAAATAAGCTAAAGCTGCACTCTCTCTTCCTGTTGTTGCGGTATTCTTGGCCTGGAGGTGTCTTTTAGATGTAAGTAATTATCTGTCAGGGCTCGCTGACATGCAGCACTACCAATTGTCCATGGAAACACAACATTATGGAATGAAAAAGATCATGGAGGAGATTGTTGCGTGCTAGCAACTGTTTCTGCATATGATAGTGGCATGAAATGAGGGAAAAGTGGTGAATTAGCCCAGGCAAGGCAAAACGGTGGTAGCAAGTTGGTTCCACTGCAATGAAATGAAGTATTTAGAGTGGGGGTTTTTGTTGTATTTGCTTGCACGGGGATGCTTGTGCTACACATAGAAATTATGTGGATTGTGCTAAAGGGCTGCAACTCAATATCAGGAAGGTTTATGCATTCAGGTATGGTCAAAGTGCTTATGGTAACAGCTGATTTGGCATCTTGCTGTCTTATAGGTTACCTGTCCAAAGTGTTGAGGAACTACACCGAGCAGGCCTGTGACGGAGACTTCCTGTCTGTTCGCTGCCCGCCTCGCACCACCATCACCGTCCAATCAGCTTTCTATGGAAGGAGAGGTGCGTCTGACTTCCAGCAGTGCCCTCAGACCTACCCTCAGGCCCTCCTCAGTTCTTACAGCGCCCGGGAGGATGATCGATATTGTTCTGTATCCACTGCACTACAGGTAATTAACCGAGCTCACACATTCCAGATAGAGTTTTGTATTAGAAAGTCCAACCTGTTATAATTTTAAGCTAGTATTAAAAGAGATTCCCATGTATCTGAAACTTGGATCTCATTTCATTCCTCCCTTTGTTAGTTCACCCTTCACACACATACACACCCTTGCTTTTGGGCTGCAAATCCTCCTGGGAGAAAGTGTCCTGTAAAATGGTCAAATTGGCCAAGGGTTAAATTTCGGAGGACCACTGATTATGTAACGCTTTGTGAGGAGGTTTTCCGGCAAATTACACTCTGTAAAGAGGAAGTGGGCTTGTATGTTCCCCTGACACAAAGCGATTTCATGGGGTCTTTGCCTTAGCATCCTCTCCTAAATTGGGATGCGGCTGGACTAGAAGCCCCGCTTTGCAGCACCAACACAAACACACACAAACACATCCTGTTCAGCATTCATTCAGTTGTTTTGTTTATTCTTAGTCCCCCTGCCTTCTAGTGTTAAACACCGTCCGTTTCCATAATAGACAGGGCAGCCATGAATGCACAGACACAGAGAGTGCATTGTGCTGAAGTGAGAGAATTACTGACTGCTGCGCCACCCACATTACTATACTGCACATTACTACAACCCTGAAGAATCTCATTCTACCACCTGTTCATCCCCCTTGTTCTATTGCAGCATAAATCCTCCATGTAAAGTTTATGGGTATCCCAGCTATGGCGGCAACTAATGATTGTTTTCATTGTGGATTAATGTACAGATTTTTTGTAATTATTTTATGAAAAAACATCTTTTTAAAAAAATATATATATATTATTTTTTCTTTGTGTTTTCACTTGAATGATTAAGCAATAATTCAAATTGATGCAGATTTATTTTCTGACAATCAATGAATTGATTCATTGTTTCATCATTAATCCTGGTTTTTCTTCAACCAGGTGGCATGTACACGTCTTGTAATAGATCCGATGCATTTCATCTTTGTAATAATCAGTGAAATCGCTCACAGTGAGGACCTACATGTGTTTTTTGGTGCGTTTATAGGGGAAATCCACAGATCGTGTCCCTTATTTCCCCTCACAGTGCTGAACCAACCACAGATCCCAGTGCTGCATTCCATGATCTGTTGTAACTAATGCTTCTCTTTTAATGTTAAATTCAGGGAAAGTCTCTGAACAGAATCCCCTCTGTCATTCCCCCAGCGAGTGGGATTTCAGTACAAGAGAATGTAGTGTGTTGGAATGTGCTCACCTGGGATACGGCAGGCTAAAAGATGATGAAACTAGAGAAGCAGACGGATGCCAGGAAATGAGTGGAATGGAGCTTTCCAGAGTTTTCATTCTCCTGTTCTCTTTTCTTTTTTTTCTCTTACCTGCTCCTCTCCTCCTTATTCCCATGGCTATAAGCAGCCTGTTTGAAGTGGTTTTAGGTTTGCCTGCTGCTGGTCTCACCATCGTTGGCTTATTGTTCTTCCTCTAAACCTATCTTTGGTCTTCTCCCGCTCTCTGTCACTCTTTCCTTCTTTAGAAAATGCTGGACGAGTGCCAAGACAGAAGGAGCTGTCAAGTCCTTGTCAACAGCCGCGTGTTTGGGACAGACCAGTGTCCTGGCAGCAGTAAATACCTCATTGTCTGGTACAAATGCAGACCTAGTAAGTCCCTCGTCACCTTGTATCCTGACAATGACACACATTTGTCTCCCCCTGTGCTTGGACCATGCTTTCTCTTTTCTCACACGCTTCCACATTTAGTCAGAAATAGACCAGGGGTTTGGTCACTTCATTTGCACAAGGGACAACCCAATTCCAACATTAACAGTCAGTGTATTGAACAACTCTAGCGCTTCTCCGCAGCTATCTTATTATTATAAGGAAGCTAGAAGGAAGGCTTGGGCTGTATTGACCATCCTCATTACAACCAATGATCATCACATGGATATCTTTTCTGCCCTGTGTTTGCCCACGTCCACATACAAGCTTAGGTGCTGCCATATTGAAACACAGATTTTAAGTGCACAAAAAACAGAGCATTTGTAGATTTTACAGCATGCTTCTTTAAGAAAAAAATCACCTGCAAAAGCGTCAGGTAGTGCTGCAGCTAATGCTGACTTGAAATAGATTTCGTCTGCATGTTTTTTCCTCATTTGAGTTTATTACACTAAGTTATTGTAATGCAATTAAAGGATAAAGTTAAACAAAGGTAAACAAATCCCATTGAAAGACCAAGAACAACAGTGAGTCAGTCCATCTCTCAACAGTTTTCTGTAAATCTTGGTAATGGGTAACAAATAAATCTTTTTTAGTTAATGTTACTCAAACAGGAGTAAAAAATTTATTTGTTGGGAACTATTTTGTGTCGTTTGCTTGAAACACATTGGGCGCTCTAGTGAGTATTTACAGCACCAGGATGTTGTATGTGGAACTGACTCAAAAACTACAGTTCCCATGTTTGTGGTAATATTGGAACATGTCACCAAGTGCAACTATGAGGCTTACTGATGTGTTTTAATCTTGAGACAACAGTGGAGGAATAAGCCATGCATATCATACTTGGTACTTGGATCAATTCATTGCATTTGATATTTTCATGGGATTTATTGACAATAAGAAAAAAAAAATAAATTGATATCAGTACTTCTGGTTTGATCAATTTATCCAATCATCTAATTTGACTATAAATTCTACACTGAATTATGTGTCACATTGTCTGTGTCTTTCCTGCTTCTGTTGTCTTCTCTGCTCCATTTAAAAGAAAAAAAAATGTATTGCGTGCCTCCTCCTTTATCCCTCTCCTTGGCTCTCCCCGTGAGCCAGGAAGCTAAGAGTATCACTCCAGAGGGGAGCCACAACAGTGCAGTAATCCCACCCAGATTCTAGTCTCCATTCATGGCTCAGTGCTGTGCTGAGCCGAGCCGCACTGAGCTGTGCAACAGTTCACACTAGAGTGACCAGAAGTGGGCATTAATCCACTGATCCCCCTGCCCTCCCCACTTTTTCTTTCTCCACCGGACCCCGGGGCCAATCAACAGCTCTTTGTTCACTGTCACTTAACCAATGACTTCTCAGGGGAAGAGAGAAAGGCCGCATGGGGTGTTAGTGAGGTGCAACGGGCAGGTGTCACTGCCTCTGAAAGGAGAGGTGGATGGAGGACAGAGGAAGTGAGAGAGAAAAGGGAGGGAGTAAGAGAGAACAAGAGTGAATCCGTCACCAAAAGATATAACAAACCAGTACGACCCCTTTTCTGTGCCTTCTCCTCTTTCTGCATTCCTGTTCCACTCCCCACACGGTTGTAGAAGTGGTTGCTGTTGTGTTTTTATTTGCTGGCCAGTGGAGCTGCTCTGGCTGTCACAGGTCACTGTGGCTGGATGTGTGTGAGGAATGCCTCTGCATGGCTCTACATGTCCAGTGAGCAACTCTACCTCTGTTTCTGCCTGTTTACACTGAATTAAGCTAGAGTCATGTCTTCTGTGCTTATTACAAGCTGCTCTACAGAGGTTTGATAAAATAAACATTATGGGAAAAAATTAAAAATTAAAAGAAATCAAAAAGAAATCATTTCCTTTTTTTCTGAAAATGTCATTTCTGATGTAAAGACAACCAACAGTTTACTTAATGTTTTGTTTTGTGGTCAAGGCAAAACAGGTTTTTTTCTGTTATAGCATTTAGGAATCAAATCATGTAGAAAGCTGATATTTTAATGGAATATTCATAAATTCAAAATTGCTTCAATTATCTTATTTTCCTTTTGTGCTTTTTTGCTGGTTTGTAACATCTTGTATCCTCTCTTTCCGTGTCTCTAGACGAGTATAAGAGTAAGGTGGTTTGCGAGGAGGAGAGGATGAGGCTGAGCTGCAAACGGGGTATGCAGATCGCCGTTTACTCCGCCATGTTTGGCCGAACTCAACAGGGCACCCTGGAGTGTCCCCTTCATCACAGGAGGGCGCCGTCAGTAGGTGAGGCACATTCTTACTCACTCACACTGCAGGTTACAAAACAGTTGAGTAGCTGAGGAAGCTGCATTTCTGCCATTTTCTTGCACCAAATAGATCAAATATAAGACAGGTCATACTATAAGTGGAGATTGTAGCAGCACTAAATTAGAATGGGTTGCACCATGAAGCTAGTTCTCACATTGAGAGTAGTTGTCACTAAATACAAACTGCCAGGAACAACTGTTGCGTAGCTAACAGAACCAACTGACATAGCTAACATTAGCTTGTATATAATGTACGACCTGTTTAGACTGAAGAGTAAAAGAAGTAGCTAATATTAAATATTGTCGACGTACCTGACCTCATATTTGTAATGTTGTAAACTGGATGATTTCAAATTGCATCTCACTAAACTAACACAATTACCTCAATTACCTTTGTTTGAAACTTCATGAATGAGAACTAAGCAAGGACACACAAACTTAGTGATGGATTTACAAACAGTTAGTGTGACCCAATCCTGGCTGAGGGTGCTGTAATGCTAGATGCTAAAGTGCTGTTTTATGATAATCTTATTCACTGATTATCCCCTTAGGAGGGTGGGCAAAGGTGATAATGTTTTTAATATCAATACTGTTTGACTTTATTATCTTTCGCTTTATTCATAGCATCAGTTTTGGGTTCAGTCTGAGGTGAGGAGAGGAATGAGATTTCTTACTTGAAAACACAAGCTGGGAATGTAAATCAGGTCTGCCTGGGTTTGCATGATGTTGAAAGTGAGTCTCCTTGTCCTGCTAATGTTGTTATACATAGTAATGAGTTGAGAGAGTGGAACCTAAGGTCAATCTGGGCTTTGATTTGTTCTTTTTCCCCAAGACGCTTTTTTCTTTTTACAGTGAAATATACCAGGAGTCATCCGGCAGATGGGGAAAATGAAAGATTTTATTGATGAGTTTCACATGTCAGGGCTCGAACACCTCTGAACCACAAAGAGAACTACAAACGCAGGGCTCATAACTCATAGCTCAATCTCTCTTTTTTGAATTTTCTGCGACTTGGGTGATAATTGCCTCGAGATGCTGTCGGGGTTCGGTGGATTTTGTAATTTCCTCGCCAGCTTCTTTGCTTCAGAGTCTCTACAACAAACGCATGTCTGCCACACCCGTACTTGACATCAGCTTTTTAAAATGCCCCTTTTCTACTCGGGTAACTGATTGATAATTTAACTTTCAGAAAAATATCACCATTTGGCATCTTCTTTATCTTACTCTGAAATGCAGAGTTACACTGTATAAAACCACTTCTCAAGCTCAGGTTGACACAAACACACACACACACACACACACACACACACACACACACACACACACACACATTGTCCAGGGGAATTGGGGTGGAATGTAGATCAGATGTCTCTGTCATCCAAAGCGCAGAGTTTGGCCTGTAAAAAAGGGACAGTATTGAGTTCCCTCCAAGTATGTATGTGTGTGTATGTGCATGTGTTAGTGCACGGGATATCCAGATGTACTCTAGCTCTTGTTTAGGAGAATGTTAATGACTCTAAGCTTGGATACATGACAAGTCTTAGTATAACCATAGCTACTGTGCTGGTGGCCCTTGGCCTCTTTTGCTGGGCAGCTCATTTATTTCACTTTAGTCTGCGCTGCCTTTGTTTCGTTAATGTACAGGAGGAAATAGACACTGAGGTTTGTAAATAAGTAACCAGGGCAGGTGTAAGTTAACTGGGGAGTGTGTGCGCTAGTAACAGCCTGCGTGATGAAGCTGTGAAGGAAGGCAAAATATCATTCGCCATGATTCACAATTTAAATAATGAACAACAAACATGCCCTGAAGTGTGTGTGTGTGTGTGTGTGTGTGTGCGCACACGTACGTCTTTGTGACAGAGGTGACAGGACAGGGTCAAAATAATGACCCAGGCGTCAGTCACTGGGTAATCAGAGAATATAAAGAATGGCAATGGCATTGTGTGAGTGTGTATGTGTCTGTGTCTGTGTGTTATTGTGTTCTATATGAACACCGAGGGCTGCTTTGAAGCAACCTCAGCCAGTCCTCTGAATGCATCCGGACCAGGAATGTGCAACAGGTAGGTGTAAGCGGGTGAGACGGGGCTGGCCTGATATCTGGTTTCAGACTCAGGATTAAATACAGTAGCACTGATGGAAAAGTGACTCTACTGTTACAGTTATATGAAGGCCAGACTAGAAGCGGTGTTTACCGTCAAATCACATGTTAACTTTGTGTGTGTTTACATCAACTGCACACTCAGACATACACATAACGCCTTGGTCTTCCTGTCCACCCATTCTGCAGCGTGCTGTCCTACCTCTCCATCACGTAGACACGCACATGCTAAACACACTCCAACCTCCCACAAACACCTCCTGGGGCTGTTCCAGACTGTCTAGCGGTGCCCTGGTGGGATTTCCCCTGTCAGCTCCGTCTTTGATGTGGCTCCCATGTCACCAGGAGCAGGAAGTGAGGGTGTCTTGAGTGACAGCTCAGACACACACCATTAATTATTTTCAAATGCCCCCCCCCCCTCTCCCCTTTTTGCCTCTCCTGCCCATGATAGTGTGTATGCCTCACGCACGCATTTGTGTGTGTGTGTATTTGTGGTTCTGTGTGTTCTGAATAATCTCGGTCTTGGCAGTCACATTATGCGCAAGTTTGTTTTGCACCTATTTTGATTTGATGTCTCTTTAAACATGTGTTTGACTGTGCCAGCATGGTAGGATATAGTAATCCCCCAAACCGCACTGTCCTGGCAAGCTCATCACTGCCTGAGGTGTGAGATCAACTCCTGAACTCATACAGCTTGCTGCACCTGTCCAGGTGAACTATGTATAGTATTAGATGGAGAGATATCGCACTGTACGGCAGCGGGGATTTGCCTGTACACTGTTTCCCCTACAAATAATCGCCTTACATGCTGTGTTTCTGTTCCATCCAGAGACCAAGATTGCAGTGTCTTTGAATGAACTCCAGATAATCATATTGTCTGAAAATCTTCTGGAGGTACTTTTCTAGTCTACAAATCCTATTTAGCTTGCAGTCTATTTACCATCATGGAGAGCTGTATGCTTGTCGAATCCAAAGGCCCTGGAAAAGTGGAACAGACAAAAACAAGTGCATACACAGGCATGTGCGCACAAAAGTCAAGACCTCTTTGATCTCGTCTGTACCTTGGTTTTGAGGTGGGGTGGGATTGGTGGAGTTGGACAGGTCTTGGCGGCAATGGAGAATCCTCAAAGCAAAGGGGCCTGTTCAGCCCTCCTCTCTCATCTGCCCCATTACCATCACACACACCTCTTGACATCTAAATAGCCCCCCATGCTTGGCATGCTGGGTCCCAGACTGACTTTTTTTTTTTTTTTTCTTCCTCTTCTTCTTTTTGTCAAGGCCTCTGCGCTTTCACTTTTGAGCGTGTGCTTCGGACAAGGCCCACAGTAAGATGTTTGGAACTGTAAGCTCGGGCTGGTTGGACGATCACAGTGGCTTTTAAAAACTGAGTATGCACAGCTGCAGTTCAAATTTAACACTTGGCTTTTTTGGAGGCCTGTTCCAGTTGTTAGGGTACAAGCTGCTTCACTGTAACTCTATCTGCAGTTCTCCTTGACTTTGATGCACACAGAGCGGATGAACAGCAGGACGCCGGTGTTGTTTTGGACTTCAGATTATTTTAAGGCTTGATGTTTGTATTCCAGCCACTAAGAACTTAACACCGCATGTATTTTCCATGATAACAGGTTCATGCAAGGTTCAGGCCAAAGGGTTACCAATGATTGGAATTAAGATGTGGTGTTAACGTGATAACACACGTGTGCGTAGTGTTGACTGTTTTCGTACCATGTGCCTCTGACTCTAGGAATAACCTGCTATCAACTTACAAACACAGCTGAAGAAAACTTCTCATGTACAGTTGTGTGCACATTTATATTTGTCTGTGCAGGGGTGCTGTGACTTCTGCTGCACACTTCAACACTGGCAATGACTTGAAATACAATGTAATACTTAAATCCACGGTGTTACAGTAAGAGCTAATCCTCCTGAAGTGAATAGGCCATTTACAGTAAAATGTGCGCGTAGGAGAGAGTCTCAAATTCATTAATGGCATTCACAGAAGGCACTTGGCGTGTGCAGGCCCTTTATACCCTATCACTGCGTGTGAAAGTAAGTCGCTTTTCTATTATACGAAGACTTTTAATCCCACAACAATGACTTAAGCCTCCCTATCAAATTATATGTATCGCAGGTGAGTCAGAGCAGAAGAGGAGACGAGTGCTTTTGACAAGTTTGTCCGCCCATTGTCTCTTGGAAATTCCAGGGAAGGTGTGTGTGGGTGGAAAAACCGGGACGTCTGTTACGGGGAGCTTTCTGGGAAAGGTTGCTGTGGATATACTTCATGTGCCTGTGTGTGTGTGTGTGTGTGTGTGAGTGTGTGTGTGTGTGTGTGTGTGTGTGTGTGTGTGTGGGGGGGTTTGTTTATCTGGATGTGTACATGCTCAGAGGCGTGTTTTTATGTTAGGGGCAAACACACAAGTGCTGTCCTATAAATGTATGCAAAGCAGCAGCAGTGCAAGGTCAGTCCACCAGCATAAACTGCGTCCCACGATACACTCGCCCCCCCCTACATTAGTCTTAACACAAGGGCTCTGTGACGAGTGAAACGCAACAGCAGCCATCACAACACACAAGAGCTTCCATTTCATATATTAATGTCATGTTGTGTTTTGTTGATTTACGACATTATGCTCAGTTAACTGGTAAGTTCGAGGCTGACGCTGGTGCAAGCAAGCGGAAATTTAGATGTGCGACGGATGACTGATGTGACAAACGTTGCTGAGCCATATAGAGGCGCTGCTGGTACAGGGCAGCATGTCAACACACACTTGAAATGCATCCAACACAGAGAAGCAAACACACTCACACTGACAATGACGCCAGGTGTGGGTGATCAACTATAGGCCCGTTTTAAGAAGACATACGACTCCTGTGTGTGGGTGTGTGTTTTTTTTTTATGTGCGACACTCTCTGTATCTGACCTCTGCATCTATGTTTCCTACTGTGTGTGTGAGAGTGAGAAAAAGTGTGTGTGCTTGTCCAGGAAACTCCTCCCTTCCCTCAGCCGCTGCCTCTCTTGACTGTGGGCTTTCTCTTTTGAGTCATAGGCCTTCCCTTGTTGGGTGTGTGGTTGAGAGAAAGGTTGTTGCACAGGCTTGGAGGTGGTTGGGGGTAAAGGTTAGAGGTAACAGGGGTTATTCATGCCTATTCCCCTCTGTGTGTGTGTGTGTGTATGTGTGTGTGTGTGTGTAAGAGGACTGTGCTATGCTCGCCTGTCTGTGTTAAAGCCGCTAATGAGAGCCAGAGGAGGTCAGATCCTTGAGGAATGCTCTTTTAAAAACCACATACAAATGCTGTGTGTGCGGTTGCGTGCACGTATAAGCAGGGAAAGCCAGTGAACAAAGAATAAATGTGTGTGTCTCCATCCTCTTGTCTCTAGAAGTCTCTATCTGTCTCTGAACCACCCAAGCCCCACCCGTTCCTTTTGGGGGCCCCCCGCTCCAAACTAATCACCCAGCCAGGAATCAAAGCAGCAGCTAATGGGGGCCTGTCTGTCAGTAGACGGCCTTGTCGGTGGAGGAAAGTTTTCTGCGTGGCACACCGGTTCCAACGAGCCCTCTGGGAAGCAAGAGAGAGAGGGAGAACAAATTAAAGCACATCACGGGGGGACCAGGAGGCCTTTGTGCTGCAGCATCTGCTGAAGCAAATATAGATATACACACAAATCCACACAGGGACACACACTTTTCTGCAACAAAGATTGACCTTGGTTAGCGCACTTTGACCAGTAGCCGTCGTGGGAAAGAGATTTAGACCAAACATCTTCAAATGTTGCACATGCTTCTGGCTTTAAACAGCAGCGAGAGGTCAATGCTAAATAAATGGTTGATTTCTATTTATTTAGGATGGGCAGTTACATCTACAGGTCTGTGTCTTAAAGTGGAAAAAGGCCAACAGTGGATGCTGATATTGTATCAGTTTGCACAGATTGTCAGATGATCAGCTGATGGGAATAATAACTACTTACATTCAGGGCTGTTTCCCTGGATCAGGTCGTACAATGCTGCTCCTTTAGCCCCGTGTTCAGGATGCAGCTCGCCATGTGATGCGAGGCAGCGCTCGAGTGCTGCTTGCTGTCACCCTGTTTTTTTTTTAGTTATTTTATTGACTTCTTTCTGATAGATATTTCTTTGAAAACACAAGAGGTGTGTGTGTGTGTGTGTGTGTGTGTGTGTGTGTGTGTAGGAGTGATGCTACAGTTAAATTTAGTTCTTGGTTGAAACTCCTCTCTGAGTGTTTTTGTAGAGCTGAAATTATTAGTCAGTTAATCCCTTAGTTGATTAGTAGAACATTTTTCTGCAACTCTTGTTGTTTCAGTCATTTTTCAAGCAAAACAAGCAGTTTGAATATGTCACCTTGGCGTCTGAGAAATTATAAATGGCAAATTATTTAACAGGCAGATTAACCAAAGATAGAAATATACTGTTAGAATATCTTGGCAGAACTCATCAACATCAGAATTGTTTCTAAGAGTGTTAACTGCAGATGAAGCAGGTGGTGAATTTCCATTTCCAGTCAATGAATCTACATGTGTTTTATGTGACTGTGGGAAGTGTCTAACCTCTGAGGTGTCTGACTAGTTATCCAGTTACACTCACCGGTTCCCGCAGGCGTCCACCTCACGATGTTCTGCTCGCGAATCCCAGTGTGACGGCTCCAGCTGGGCAGAGTCCGGTTGCCCCTTCGAACCGTGTCCGAATGGACAAAGACATTGATTCAGGTTCACATTTTTTAAAAAGCTTACTGACCTGGACTCGCAAGTTTTATTACCTAGACTCAGATATTACCATGGGATAAGGTGTGTTGTCTGTTGATTATAAGGCAGGATCACACAGTTATGGCCCATTCAAAGAATTCCCAATGTTGACCCTGTCTATGACCACTAGATTGTCGTCTCTCACTTCCTGACTGGGACATTTACCCTTTGACCTGTGACATAATTTGTTGGGGCCTGTTGACATGTGAGCCAAGCCTTAACCATCCTGTTCTCTTTACCTTTTTTTTTTTTTCTTCTGATGTCTCTGTGTCTCTCTCTGGGGCCCACCGGGGCAGACAGTGCAGACCCCAGTGTCCACTTTCAAAGGCTCATCTCCTTGTGTTGTTTTTAGGAGTTAGACGGACCGTAGGGACCAGGGAGGCATCCATGTGGAACCCAGGCCCACTCACATTCCCACAGAACTCAGCGGGAGGTTCCTCCGACTTTATTAGTGCTCCTCACACCTCCGTCTGTAGCGTCACTGAAGTTCATGAGGTGGAACATAGAGTACTGATACTGAGTGAACTTTTAAGATGTGCAGTTTTGGTTTCCATAATCCATGATAATAAGAATTTAAGGAAGAACATCCACTCATGTATTTTATATTTTCTCTTCAGTCGTTTCTTCACATAATGAATTAGCAGTTTACTTGTTCAGATCACTCTCCCACTAAAGTCAAAATGTAAATATAAGTACATTAATACTTTTGACTGTGGTTGTGATTATTATTTCAGACATAATCATGCAGCCCCACAATTCTGTGCTTTTCAAACAGGGCGTCTTGCCTAGCAACACATACCATCAACAGCAAACAATAATGCATATTTTAATGAATAATGATAGCCTACATACACTGTCAGCTTTGTCTGGCTTTTAAAATAGACCTGAAACAATTAGTCGATTAATTAATTGTTAGAAAATCAATCAACAACAGTTTTGACACTGGATTAATTCTTCAATATTTTTATTTTTCATGCAAAAAAGCCAGAAATTGCTGGTTCCAGCTTCTTAAATGACAACATTTGCTGCTTTTCTTTGTTTTACATGATTAAAAACCTCAGTATCTTTAGGTTTGGGACTATAGTCTGCACGAAACAACAATCTGAGGATGGAAACTTGTGAAGGGACTTATTTTCCACCAAATTCCAATAATTTCCAATCGAGACCAATCGATTTTTATCACAACACCAATGATGTTTGTGTAAAATTTGGGCGCGTAAAACTGGCCTCATGAGCTCATTAAACACAGCAGGTTAGCGTATAATCTTCTTTAGTCCTGTTATTAACGTGAGAGGAAGGAAGTCAGAGCGGAAAAAAAGGGTAAAGAGAGGAAGAGCCTCATCCGTCCGTCCGCGCTCCACAGAGGACGAGAGCTGCAGAGGAGAGGCTCCGTACGAGCTGGCGGGTGCTTAGCGATGATGTATGAGGGCCCCATCCATTACTCTGTCCGGTCTCCATACACAAACACTCACACACCCACACATCCACACACACACACACACACACACACACATATGATGGATCAGGTATCTCTTTAGACAATGTGAGGCCCCAGTAAGGTTTCTCTGTGTGGGTCTGATGTGGACAGAGGCTCCACCATGGGAGCTGAGAAAGGCTTTATGGGAAGGAGAGGAGTGTGTGTGAGAGATGTCTGCAGAACGAATGTGTGTGTTCGGGGTATGTGTGTGTGTTGTAGCTGACAGAGACTCATGTAGTCCCTTTGTGCCTGAAGTGCTACTTGTCCATCAAACACTCAACAGGTAGCAACTGGAACATTGAATATATCTGAAATAGATATTCACATTTGATGGGGTAAAACCCACTGATTGACAAATGGCTCAAATCATCCAAATGTATTTCATTTGATTAACTTTTTGTTAAATGGCTAACTAATCAACCAATCATGTCAAATTATAGTCTTTTCCAGAAAAACCCCCGAAGAAATGAGTCACAGCTACATTTCAGTTTTCCCAGTCGGTGACTCTCTCTCTTTATAAATGATTCACTCGTATAGTTGGGTAAACTGTATAGCTGTTAATCCGTCCGGCTGTCTCTCCCCTCTCTGTCTCTCTGTCAGACTGCCAGTCGTCTGTGGCTCTGCAGGTCCTCACCGCCCGCTGTCAGGGCAAGAAGAGCTGCCTGGTCCGAGCCTCCAGCCGAGACTTTGGAGATCCGTGTTACTCCGGCACCAGGAAGTACCTCAGTGTCATCTACACCTGTGGTGAGTCCCCAGCCGACACCCCTTCACTGAGGGCTTCATTTTCCTGCCACCAGGGGGTGCTGCTCGCCTACTGATCAGCTTGTTGTCAGCGGTTCCAGGATTACTGGCTCTAAAAACGGGCAGAGAATAATTCAATTATTTTTCCAAGGTATGACGATGATGACGCTGTCGGGTTCATCAGTGGACAGTACAGTTTCATTTAGGGCTCTTTCAACTTTTAAAATGCCGCAAGCCCCAGGGGAAACAGCGTGTCCTGGCTACTATCATTGACAATTTCATGGACTTTTCATTTTTCTTTGAAATTAAATTCAAGTTTTTCCTTATGGGACACGCGTTTACAATGACTTGTGAGACTAAACAGTTTCTGAAGGAATGCAATGTTTGTTTTTTTAGCTATTAAAGCTATTAAAGTTTTTTTTTTCTTAGAGGGAGAAAGGAATGTCATGCAAGAAGTTCAAAGCTTAAAAACTTGTTTTCCACCCACAGAATGTAGTTTTAAAAAAAAACAAAAAAAACTGGCATTGTATCTTCTGTTTTGACTTTATGTCTGTGCGGATGAGGGAGAATGATGGTCTTCCTTTTTATCTGTTCCCTGCCCCGGGCTAATCCTGAACTGTCAAGGCTGTAATTCATTAACTTCATGCTTGAAGACACACAGACACACACACACACATACACACGCTATTCAGTCGCCTCCAGCACCAGGAATTGATCTATCAGCACTATGGCCCGGAGCCTCTCAAACCCACTAAAATCATTGGCACAGAAATCCAGATCCTGACTAAGACGACTGTTACGTTTGGCATTTAAATGTGATTTCTGAGTCCTGATTTGAAGGATCGAATTTTATGAGAGTTGTGGGTGTCTACAATGGGCCTAAAAAAAATCAGTCTGTTTCTCAAAGGATTGAAAATTCATCTAAGTCAGTGCATTGCAATTCTCATTATCCTTCTACGGTTCCTTTCAGAGCTTGTAGTGTATGCACCCTGGTGATTATCTGAATCTCGGGAATCTACTAATGGGCTGTGAAGGTCCACCACCCTGAGTCCTTTGTATCCAAATGCTGGAAGATTGTCAGATAGATCTCTAAGAGTCCACACGTCCTTTATCTCAACAACAACCGGACAGTGCGGACAAGAACACACAGGCTGTTAGGCTGTTAGGCTGTGTTTATGGAGTCGTTTTGGCTTGAATCTCTTGTCTGACCTCCCTTATCTGTCACTGATAACACAGGGTACTCTCCCAACGGCTCTGGTGCGGAGCTGGGCCGGCGAATGTGCGATCGCTTTTGAGGAAGGGGCAGCGGAGGAAAGGGGAAGGATGTGGAATGGTGTAAACGTTAAACAGATAGAAGAGGCAGCAGGGGACGAGGGTGGGAGGGGGCATACTGTGATGTGTGTGTGTGTGTGTGGGGGGGCTTTAACATTTAAAAAGTTAAAAACTAATTTGCAGATAAACACAGACTTTCAATGAAAGCAGCTGGAATAAACTCACTTTACATGTGAACAGATTTCTGCTTTTTTTGTGTTAATATCTGATGAAAACTCTGTTTTTAATAATATTT